GACCCTCCTTCTCATTCATCTCTGGGGGGGTCCAAGCCCCCACGTTGCCCTTGCAGCTCGCAGGGACCCCCCTGGCTGTGCCCTGCTCTGGGGGTGATGGGGAGGGTGGCAGGGTCCCCACCCCCGACCTGGCACCCCCCCACATCCTGGGGACCGCTCGTGCAGCTGCCACTGGAGGGAGTGGTGGGCACTGCTCCCCAAAGCCCTCCGGTGTCACAGGGGTGTCCTTGCCCTCTGGCACCACTCGGCTTCACTGGCTGCCTTTCCGGGCTGTGTCACTTGGGGTTCACCGGGGAGGGCTCCCCTCAAATCCCGAATCAAATCCTGATGTGTCATGAACCGTGTGGGAGAGGAGGGGAGTTCCCCCGGCTGTGTCTCTGCTCCCCAGCGATTTCCAAACCTTGGCCAGCGGGATGGGCACTGTGACATCCACACTCCTGTCCCCCGCGAGGGGAAACATGCCCCAGCACAGCGATTCCATTCCTTTTCCTTCTTCCAGATGCTCTGGCAAAGCTCTGGATAGTGTTCACGTGGAGAGGGGGTCCAAAAATCGCCTCCCTAAACTGGGCATGGCCACTTTTGGTACGTGCCGAAGGGACAAGGACCAGGCAGGCAGAGCTGGGCACTGGCAGCCCCTGAGCACTGCCCGGGAACATTTTGGCCACGAGTGGCTTTTCTTGGCTGTTTTTTTTTTTTTCTTTTTTTTTTTTTTTTTTTGGCTAGGGTTTTTCCTAAGCTCTGCCTCTGCCCCAGCTCCCTGGGACTAATGAGGGCTGAGGGCATCCCTTTTGGGAATTAGCCCTGCCTGGCTCTGTGCTTCCAGGGACTCCCCAGGGATGGGTTTGGGGAGGCCAGCACTGGGTTCTGGGGGACAGAGGCAGTGTCAGACACAGAGACCAAGCCATGGGCTGGCTCTGCCACCAGCAGCTCGGTGACAGTCACCGTGGCAAGTCCCACCCACAGCACCACAGGGACCACAAAAAGTTCCAGGAGGGCAGGAGGGCACCGGGGTGGACACACAGCAGTGTCCCCTTGGAGCTGAGCCCCTCCAGCCACATCGTGTCCCAACAGCACTGCCTGTGGAGTGTCTGCCTGGTTTGACTTCACCCCTCCTGGCATCGCTCTCCTTCCCTGCCCTCTCCCAGCTCCATGACTTCAGGTCCTGGCTGGCTCCCCGGCACTGATCTCCTCCGGCACCCTGCCACCAGCACGGCTGGGAGGAGGGCTGTGCCCTGCGGGAAGGACAGACAGACAGACAGACAGAGTGTTCTCCCAGCAGCTCCTGCCGCCGCACAGCAGAGGCCACTGCGAGGTCACACAGGCTGCGAAAGGGCAAAATCCCACCACATCCTATTTTGTCCGGTCTCCCACAGCCTGGAGAGCGCTGAGGGCTGGTCCTGCTCCTCCACGTGATGGATGAGGTCTTGGCAGCTCCCGAGTCCGGACGGAGCCGGCCAAGGGCAGGCAGTGCCCGCCCTCCGCCCTCTCCTTCACCGCGGTCACGAGGTTTCAGTCAGCAAAAGGCAGATTTTCTTCCGTCTACGCACACGCTTTATTATGATTATAAATAATAATAAATCAAAGCGCCAGGAAGTGGATTTATCGAGCAGGAAGGGATGTGGAGCATGGTGAGACACCTCTCTCTCTGACCCAGGAATGTGAGGTGTGAGAGGAGCCAGCTGCGTCAGGGGAAAATAAAATCCCAGGGGATGTGATGGGGGGGCTGGAGGAGAGCAGGGCAGAGGGGCTGTGGGAACTTTCCCACAAACATCCCAGCTACAGACATCCACTCTCCTTGCCTGGCTTTTTGCACCCACTGCTCCAATGGGTCCCTTTAGGACCTTTTGTATCCCAAGTGCTGAGATTTCCAATTGCTTTTTGACTGCATCTGCTGCCCTCCCTTCTGAGGCGTTTATAGGAGGAGAAGCCCCCCACTGTCACTGGCTCCCAGGATTTTCTTCTGCTCAGGGCAGGCTCCAACTCCCAGTGCCTGTGTCGAACCCAGGACAACCTCCTGGCTGCCTTTGGGGACCCCAAAGGAAGGGGTGAGAGGCAATAATTTGAAAATTCAGCTTTTTTGGTGATTTTCCCCGTTTTGTGCTTTGCTGGGTGAAGTCATGGCTGGAGGAGCTGCCTGATGGGACTCACCCCGTGACCACAGCCTGCTGCAGGATGTGGCCAAGTGACAGGTCAGCTCAGCTCAGCTCACAGATCCAATGGGAAACTGGGTTGGCTCAGTTCCTTTTTTTTTTTTCTGTTGTTGTTTTGGTTTGATTTTCAAGGTCAATTGGTCCCAAAAAATGACTGCTGTGAACAAGGGCCCTACAAGCTGGTGACACAGGGCCATCACTGCCTTTGGCATCTGGATGCTCCAGCCCTGCCAGGAGCAGGAGGTGAGCTGGGGACAATCCCCAGTGGAAGGACAAGGGGCATCTCCACCACTGTGGGACCTGTTCCTGGACCAGCAAGAGCTTCCAGCTCTGCTGCCTGTGGAGCAGCCTGGGGTTCCCTTGGTCCCATGCCACGGTTGTCACCTGGGAGGGTGACAAGGGACAGCAGGGAGGGGGAAAAAAGGTGCTGAGCTGATCCCAGAGTGGGGGAAAGAAGGAGATGGAGGAGGGGGAGAAGTAGGAGGGCAATGGGATGGAGGACACGAGCCCCTTCTGGCTGTTGAGGCATGTTCAGAGTATTCTAGGATGGATATCCTTGCCCAGACACAAGGTCCCCCTCTGCTTGGTGACTGGGTCACCTCAGAGTTTGCTGGTGAACACACACACACACACACTCACACACACACACACACACACACACCAGGCACGCCTGCTTTGGGGGGGATACAGCCCCTCACACCCCACACCAGGGGCTGTAACCCATGGCCCCACACCAGTTAAGAGAGTCCCTCAGTCCTTCCAGTGGCTGGAGGTGAAAGACCCCCCCACACACTTCCCACTCATTCCCATCCCGCACCCATGACCGTCCCCTCCTTTCCAAGGCCCAGGGGCGATGCCTCTAATGCCCTGATGGTGTCTCAGCCCCAGCAGCTGCCGGGGGCTCCGTTTTGCCACCCTATTTGCATCCTTTTCATCAGGGCTGTGATCGGGGCTGTGTTTCTGCCGGCCTCCCTTGTCTCAGCACCTCAGCTCGGCAACTCCTCCCTCTGCTCGCTGGGCTGGAATGAGCGTGTTCCTGCTGCCGCGTGTCCCCGTTAATTAGCACGGCTGACCGGGTTTCCTTCATCAGCGCTAATTGGCCAGGTCTGTGGCTGTGCCTTTCTCTTCCCGGCTCTCGCACTGCCCTTGGGTGATTTTAGTGCGAGAGAGAAAGGAAACGGAACTCAACGTGCCTCCTCTGCACACATCCTTCCACGGACACCCGCAGCTGGGGACACGGGCACACCGTGGGGCTCAGGGCACCGGGGAGGCTGCGACTCCTCAAACCACAGCTCTGCAAAGCCTCTGTTCCCCACCAGTGGTGACCATCCTCTCCTCCCCTACCCACAGCCCCCACCACCAGGCTCTAGGTGCCCAGTGGCATCACCAGCAAAGAGGGCAGCGATGCCCAGTGCCCTGGGACGGGCAGGTAGTAGGGACAGCCCGCAGGTGACACCTGGAAGTGCTCAGCCCTGCTCCTCATCAGCTGTGGGTCGCTGTGATTGATCCCCACCATCACCCTCCTTGAGCTGCCCCTACTGTGCTCCAGGTGACCCTGTGTGGAAGGGACAGCAGCTCCTGGGCTGGGGGCAGAGGGCACGATGTCACGGGGGCCCCACAGCACCAGGTCTGTGCCCTGTCACCACCCTGCCCCCCGTGGCCTCCCCTGTGGTCTGGGACCACCTGCCCCAAAGGAGGATGCTCTGGTTGGAACCCCCTCCCACGGGGGTGCACACGTGTGTGTGCCCAGGACTGTCCCCATGTGCACGGGGAGGAGAGGGGGGCTGGGTCTGAGGGGTGCAAGGGAATCTGGGGAGGGGGGTGTCCATCTCAGAGGTGCACGGGGATTTCCGGGGGTCTCCGTGGAAGTGCAGCAGGATGGGGGGAGTGGGGTCTCTGTGGGGTGCAGGGGGATTTGGGGAATGTCTGTCAGTCAGCAAGGGAGGTTCGGGGGACGCTCTCTGTATGTGAGGGCAGACTCGGGGATTGCTGGGGGGCAGCGGGTGGAGGCCACAGAGCTGCACCTGGATGGAGACATGGGTAGGGAGGGATGGGAATACAGGAAGGGGGAGCTGTTCTCTGCTCAGCTGGAGCCTCCTGTGCTCTGCTGACAGCAGGGACCAGCCCCAGCCGCCTCCCGCCCCCATCCCCGGCTCAGTCTGTCTGTCTCTCGGGGCTGCTCTGCCCCCGCCTCCTCCACCCTCCCCCTCACATCTGGCCAGCAGCAGCTTATTTTTCCCTCCAGTTACGACACCCTGAGCCACGGGATGTTTTTCTTCAGCGTGTGTTGGACCCCCCACAGGGAGAGGGTGGGGGGATCTCCTTGGCCGGGGAGCTCTGATCACAACTCCTGACCCTCCTCCCATCCACCCTCCCCAAGCACAGAGAGGGGAGCCCGGGCTCCACGAACAGGGAATCATCCCGGGCTTGGGGAAGGGAGAGTGGATCTCCGCTGGTGATGGGGAAGGTGATGGGATGGATCCCCACTGGGTCTGGAGAGGTATGATCAGATCCCCCCAGGACTGGGGAACAGTGATCAGATCCCTGCCAGTGATGGAGAGGGGCAACTGGATCCCCTTGGGTGTGGGGAAGGGGCTGTAGCTGTGGACACCACCATCTCCTCAGTCATGACCCACAGCCGTGTCACCCTCCACTCAAAGGCCTGGAGGACCAGAGGATGGGGGTGCCCCAAAAGCAGCCCTAGGGGACATAAGATTTGGGGTGCCCCAAGACCATCCCCACTGCTGGAGCCAGGCTGGGGTTGATCCCTCCCACCCCCACCAGAAGCAGCAGAAATGGGATGGACAGGCCCCATCCGTGCCTCCCTCCTCCCACTGGAATAAACACCACTTATTCAGAAGAAACCATTTTATTATTTTTTTTTCCCAAAGAAAAAAAGCAATATAAATATTAGAGTATAAAACTTGCGTGTAACACATCGACATTGGTCTATATGGGTATAAGAAGGATATAAGCATATATATAATATATAAGTATAATTCAATATTAGACACATTGAAAGGGCAAACGTGTTTTCATTTCACGTACACTCGGAGCACAGACCACATGGAAAGAAGATACAGAGAAAATTGAAAATACTGATGTCCACAAGTTAGTTACTGCAATTAAAAATAACACACCACTAAATACACAACACTCACTACGCTACCTCAGATTGCAGATTAAAAAGAAAATATAAAGACTACGATTCAGCTACAGCATTTCTAGAGGGAAGGGGGGGCAGGTGGCAGCTGCAGGGGACAGGGTGGGAACCGCTCCCAGTGCAGCCAGAGCTGGAGGTGGCTGGATCCGGATGAGACACGGAGGATGCTCCTGCTGCCCTGGGTTTGGGGAGGGGGCTGGGGTAGGGTGAGCCTGGCTGAGAGGGCTGGATCTGCTCAGGTGAGTTACGTGTTAGTGATTAAAAAAGGAAAAAAACAACACACACCCCCTGGGAAACTCGGTGCGGCCCCTTCCTGGCCACCCCACAGCCCCTCTCCTCACTCTGGCTACACAAAGCCCCCCTCTGCCTCCCTGGAGGGCTCAGAGCTGCTTTGCTATGGGAAGCTGGCCTGGTGCAAGGATGATGGGCGTGTGGAGAAACTCTATTCCTCATCCTTTGATTCTCTCCGTGGGGTGGAAAGCCCAAAGCCAGCGGGAGCATCACTTCTTCCAGGCTGGCCCTACACGGTCCCATTCGACACTCCCTCAGTTATTGCCCCCAGTTTTGCAGCATCACCCCCTGCTTTTGGGTCCCTTCTCTGAATCTGGTCCCCAAACGCCACCAAAACAACCATCACTTACTCAATCACCAACTCTGCACCAAAGCCATGCACGGGCAGCTCTGCGGATCCCGCCCCTTCGGGCGAGACCCCCCCGAAACAACCGCCTTATAAAAAACTGCCCTATCACCCCAAATTACCTTTTGGGGCCCAAATAAGAAGCAAGGAGTTTCCCCACCCCGCCTGACCCACCCCACCCCCTCCCACCCCTTCCCCCCGAGGCAGCCCCGGCGCGGGGGCTCGGGCGGCTGCCGGCGCGTTCACACCACGCTGCGTGGGCATGCGAGGACTCCTCCGGGTCCGTGTGGAGCTACTGCGCTAGTGCAGGTGGGAGGTGAGGGACGTGCATGCAGACACTGTGCAGAGACGGGAAGCGTCGTCCCCGGGTGTCCCCTCGGGCGGGGGACCCGGCCGGGCACCCGCCTGGCCGCAGGGGAGCGAGGCTCTCTTAGCCTTAATTCCATAAGAACATCGACTGTACATATAAATATTTACTGCAAAGAAGGTTTGAGATGTGTCTGCTCTTCGGAGACCCCTAGAACCGCCGGGGCAGCTGCCGCACACCTCGGCAACGCTCCTTTTATCCAATTCCCTGCCTCTCAGACATCGGGAGGGCTTTTTACTTTCTCATATTTCAGGCCATTAGTGGTTACACTTTAAAAAAAAAAACCAAACAAACAAAAAAAAAATGTTTAGGATGCAGCTTTGCCATATTCCCTTTGATTCATGCAATATAAACACTTGTTGTTTTTTTTCTGGGTGACAGGTAAGCAGGAACTGAAGCACTCCCTACCAACTTCCAAATTCCAAAATCCATCACTATCATTATCTGGGGCAGGGCGGGGGGGGATGGGGTGGGGTGAATTTTATGAATGGAAAATTTAAGAGCGAAGAACTGGAGCGTGGGCTCTAAGCTAAGAACTTCCTTTTCCATTCCAAACAAAAAATGATTGAAGGGCTACATAAATTAAAAGATCCACGTTAAAATTATTTACATTGGGCAAAGCCGAGCACAAAGCCTCGGACTACCTGGGAGCAAATCGGATCCAAAGACGTGGCAAAAGACCTTCCGCCCTTGCATATTCTAACACCCGAGGGATCGTATAAAACATTATTCACAGGGCACTTGTTTGTGTTCGGTTGAGCTTCCAGATTGGTTTCCATCACGAGGTCTAAGAGCAGCGAGTCCCTGCTCCCAGACCTGATGATGACCAGATACATTCGCAGCATTTCCTACTTTTGCATCACAAAAAAAAAAGAATAAAAAAAAAATAAAAAATTCACATTCGTCCTCCGGCCTGGGCTGTGGGGTTTTTTTTGGGGGGGGAGTGCTGGAGCCGGCTGCCCTGTAGCTCTAAGGTCTCCTTCTTCTTCTTCTCTACTTCTTCTCCTTCTTCCCGGATTTCTTCTTGTTGCCCGCGGCGGGGGCGGCGTTCTTGGCGTCGCGCTTGCCGGCGGCGTTGGTGAGGGTGGCGTTGCTGCCCGGGATGTAAACGTTCTGCCGGTAGTCGGGGACGTGCTGCAGGGTGAACTGGGGGCCGTAGCGGGCGCTCAGCCCCATCGTGCCATTCCCGCCGCCCAGGGTCGAGTTGCCATCAGCAGCTTCTGTGGGGAACGCCAGAGGGAGGGGGCAGAGAGGAGGGCACGTTGTTAAAGCCGGAGCCCACCCTGAGCCTCGGCAGCCCCCCCGGGGCATCAAACTGCCAAACCCACACCTGGGTGCCGCCAAGCATCGCACCGTGCGTGCCGGGGAGTGCGGCACAGACACCCTCCCGCCCCCCCGAAAGCGCCCAGGCATGTTGTGCAGCCGCAATCGGTAGTAATGCATTAAGGGAAATCCGATATTTATTTATTTTTCCGCCGCGTTTAAAGCCCTGCCCCCGGTGTTTCTCCAGCCAGGTTTATTCAGGGGAGCAGGGCGCGGGAGAGGAGAAAGACAATCTCCCCCCTGCAATACCGCCCAATGGCTCTAGGAAGCCGAGCACGAAGGAGATCCGTGCCAGAGAGCGGCTGATGGTCCAGGTCTGGGGGCAGGGGGAGGGGAAGGCAGGTTCGTTCCTGTCGCTATGCAAAGCTCCAGCACGGAGAGAGAGAAAGCAGGAGCGGGGAGGGGCTCAGGGCCCCCCCGGGATGCCGGGGCTCTGCTGGATGGTGGAGACCAGATGGAGGTGGGGGATGCGTGGAGGCAGGGGGGGAAACGAGCAGGGGGGGATGGTAAAGCTCAAGTGATGCTGTTGCCATGAGCTGCTGCACGATCTGCTCCGGTGCAGCTGCCTGTGCGTGGCTCAGGGGGGGATCCTTGCACAGCCCTGCTCAGAAATGATTTGCTAAAACCCAGTCTCTGTATCAGAGGTTCCCATCTCAGCCCTTAAGTGCCTCATGCTCATGGCTAAGGACAGGCTCTCCTGGGAGGCTGGAGAGACCCAGCAAGGCCACCCAAAGAGCCCAAGGTAGAGCCCAGGGGTGCTGCTCCCCCCTTTAACAGGCAGGGACACTGCAGGAATAAAGAAAAACAACGAGCAGAGATGGTGGGCTGGTCCCCTCGTGTTTCTCCTCACTCCAGATCAGCTCTGTGCACGTCTCTGTGTTGCTTTTGCTTTTCCCTAAGCAGATGGGGGTGACTAAGCCAAGCAGAAAGCTGGACAAAAAGCTGGACCACATCCCACCAGCCCCCTGAAACATGGCTGTGTACACATTCCCTCGCAGGGGTCAGAAGTATGAAGCAACTGCAGTTTGAAAAGTTACAGCTGCTCTGCTGGAGCAGGAGGAGGGAAAAACACAGCGAGGCCAAAAACAGGCACAATGTTGTGCACTGGGGTGGGGGGACGTGGTGCACAAACACAGGGACCCAGCGTGGGGAAATGCCATTTCCCTTTCCCCTGGGGAAGAATTCACTGCAGGAGGATTTTTCCAGAGTCCCCATTAAATGGGTTCCAGACCCAGCAGGCCTTTGAAGACCTTGGGCTGGGGAGATGCATGTCTATAAGCAGGAGCTTAATTCATTAACAACCAACTCGACCCCACACCCACTGGGTGTTACAAATGATCCCCATGGGATGAGAGGACTGAGATGTGCAGGGATTATCTCACAGGTGCACTACAGACTCCAGCCATGAGGAAGATTGCTTTTTCTGGGCTGTCCCAGCTGGAAACAGCCCAGTTAGAGGCTTGGTGGACTTGGAAACTTTCTCCTCCCTGGGTATTGCTGCCCTGTGTCCCCCCTGGGCCATCCCAGATGACCAGGGCTCTGAGCAGGGAGGGGCTGGGGGCTGCCAGCACCATTCAAGTCCTCATGAATTAATTTGCAGTCTCAGCACAGCTTTCACCAGGCAGAAAAAGCCACTGGTGAAGTTCCCAGCCTGCCCGTGGGTCCTGGGTAAGGGAGAAGGGCTGTTTCTAGGTAACACTGACATTAAGGCTGAAAGGAAGAGAGAACAGGAACAATAGAGGGTTATAAATGGGCACCGAGGTGCTCTTGCCAAGCAAGGCACTTCAGCTCTTGTTGCTGGAAAGGTCATGCTCAGCCTTTACCAGCAGCCAGACATTGTCCCAAACGGTCTTGAGGAGGAAAACAAGAATTTGGGCTTCAGCAAAAATAACCAGCTCAGGGTTCCATCCCCCAGAGGCAGCCCTGGAGCACGTGCTGCTGCAGCTGCTGGTGGGGCTCTCAGGAGACCCCAATTTAGTGTGTCTGCCCTGCCTGAGGGGGAGAAGGATCTCCTCGGGCTGCCTTTCCGTCTGCTCTCCCACCATCTCATGGCACCTCTATAAATTCCCACTGGAAGCCAGAGTATTTTAAGGACAGGATGTCTGCCCTTTAGTGTCTGGTGTCCTGGAGCATCTGTGCTCCTTGGCATGTCTTAGCAGCTGCTTCTGCCCATTCAGATTGCTAAAAACACTGGCTTTTCATGTCATTCCCAGCTGCAAGGGAGGAAAATTCAAAGGAAGGATGCCCAGGAAGGGAGACAGAAACCCTACAGGAAGGTCACAGCCCTGTGGGGAAATCAGCTCCCCAGGTACTCTGACTTGGGAGGGTGATTTAACCATTTAATCCTTGGAGCAGATGGATCACACAGGCTTGGGATGGCAGGGCCAGCTCTGCCTCTTGCTGAAGTGAAGGATAACACCTGGCACAGGGTATGGATGCATCCAGGGCATCGCTTGTGTCACTGTGTCCCACCTGCCACGGAGCTCTATCAGAGAGCTCAGTAAGAGATAAGGATCATTTAAATAGCCAGGAAACATCAGCCAAGGATGGGCAGCACAAAGTTTAATGGGCAATTAGTGCTGCCCCTAATCAAAGCCTGCTCCAATCAACACCATTGGCTTAAAGAGAGAGCAGAAAGAGAGGACAGAGAGCAGGGCTGCCATGAAAACACTGTGCTAGTGGAAAAAACTTGTGCTGTGTCCCCATCCATCCATCCAGCACAGAAAGGAACGGGAAAGGGCAAGAAAAGGATGGATAAGGAAAAGCCATTATCTAGAGGATGGATCTGATTTACATCAACCCCCTGGGATGACTGAAGCCGTGGGAGAGGTCAGGGCTGTTTGAGGCTCGTGGACTGGGGAGATTTGCTGAAATGGGGCTCCGTGGGCTCCGTAGAAGTCTTAACTTGGAAGGGAACCCCTCAGCTCTGATCCTGAGGACTGCTGGAGCAGCAGTCAGAAAAAAACAGCTTCATTTGCCAGCAAGGAAACCGGATCTGGAGGCCCTGGGTGATGATAACCACGTGCAACCCCCAAAGGCTGTTTTTCCATGGTCTTTTTTTCAGAGCAAAGACACATTTTCACATTGTTTCTTTCCCTTGAGTGTAAACAACTCCCTTGCCTCAGACCTTCGTCCCCTTCCCCAGCCAGGGCAGCTGTCTCCAGGCTGCCTGGTGTCTGAGGAGCAGCAAAGTTCAGGCAGCAGCTTTCCAAGAAAGCAACTCCAAAGCCATCCCTCAGATTCCTTCCCTCCCAACAGCTCAAAGGAAACATCCTAAGCATCTTGCACGGGGTTTTAATGGCTGTGCTGTTGCTTCTATTTTTAAATCAAGGGGGGAAAGACTTGGAGGTATTTATAAATAAAGGCTGTACGAAAACCAGCCTCTTTATCTGCGGTGCTGCACGGAGTGATAATTGTACTTGTTTTATTCAAAGCCATGGAGACTGTGGGTGTGTGGGAACACCCTCCCTGCCCACCACTTCCACACAGCCATAAACCAGAACAAACCGACCCAAAATGACCCCAAACCACCCCCCTGTGACTACAACTGCAAAGAGGCAGCAGCAGCCAGTGGGGAAAACCTCTGTGAGTTCATGGCTCAGCAGAGGAACCCAGGGAGCTCCTCTGGACACAAGGTTTGTTGGGAATACTGACTCAGGCATTTACTGTTTCCCTGGCCCTGCCACATGCAGAACATCCAGCCTTTCTACCTCCTCACCTCACAGCAAGTTGCAACACAGCAGTTTCATTTTAGTTTCATATATTTCAATGAAATATATACCTATTTATATATACCTATTTATACAGGTATATATAAAAGTATACCTACTTTTATAAACCAGGTAGCTTATAAAAGATCACCTTAAGACTGGCTCTCACATGTAACACAACCACATCACGAGCCAGGTGACGTTCTGCCCACTACACAGGAAATAAAGTTTGAGTGGGAGAGGTGTCCCTGTCTACAGCAATCTGCCTGAATCCTTCCTGACCCCCTCCTCTGCAGTGCTTTCCCACCAGCTTTGGGATCTGCTGAAGAAGGACTCTTGAAGCCAGACAAACCAGTCCCACCAGCATCTTATCTAACAGCATGAACCCGAGATGCCCCTGCAAGAGCAAGTGTCGTGGTTTTCCCACCCGTGATGGACACCAACCGTTTGCTGAAGCCAGGATCATGGCTTGGAGCACCTCCGTGTCAAACTGGTTGTTGGGCCAGGCTCCAGCTTCCTCTCCATTCTGGGAGCTTTGGGAAAAGAAAACAAACAGCAAGTTACTGCAGTTCAGTCTGGAGGAGGGGGTTTGTCCACTGCATGCTTCAAACCCTTCTATTAAATAAAACTCAGGAGTCAAGAGCCTTTCAGAGGTGTCCATCCCTCACTGGGCTTTTGAAGAATAACCACAAAAAGCACTTGGGGACTCAGTGATGCTTCCAGCAACACCCACCTAACTCCTGCTGACTTCAGAGGCTACAGCCAGCACCTCCTCACCTCAAAATCCCACCAACACAGAATCAGAGAATCACAGAATGGGTTGAGTTGGAAGTGAACTAGAAGATCATCTAGTTCTGACACCCCTGCCAAGGGATATTATGTAATCCCTTCCCAAAAATATACTGTAATATGATAAAAATTGCTGTCCTAAATCCCCAGAGGTGTATGCACCCTTGTACAACCAGATCCTCTGTTCCTCTTGCAGGCTGTGTGAGTGGATGCACCTTTCAGGCTGCAGCTCCATTCTGCAGCTTCGTTTGTAAGACAGAGGGTGAGAAAAACCCGTGGCAATGGTGGGCTTTGGGATCATCATGGAGCCAACTGCCCAGCACCACAGAAGGTGCTCTGAACAGAGTCCAAGATCAGCTGCCAGCTCTGCAGAGCTGGCACCAAACGGTGCTGGGGAGGCTGGAGCAACAGGGAGAGGAGAGAAGGGAAGTGGGCACCTGCCTTGTTTCCCTGGGACTGGCTGATGGGGGTGCTGAGCATCACAGATCCGCCTGGGAAAACTCAGGGGATGCTGTCAGGCTTTGGCTAAGGAGGTTCTGTGACTGAGGTTACAATCAGCAGTCTGTGTGCAGTCTAACAAGCCCTGCTTTCATCTTTGCCAGGTGTCAGCTGTGCTCAGCCACTGCTCACTGGTCAGGGCTGTGCTCACAGGGCCCCTCCAGAGCCTCCACACTTCCTAAACATCTCACCAGCTTCCTGGGTCCCCCTCTGCTCTGTCCCTGAGTGACCTCATCACTCAGAGCACCTCTCCCTCCTCTCCCAGCTCAGTGCTCTGACCACCTACAGCTCTTGCCACCCACTGGGATGCCAAGATTTGCCCCTTGGTTGTGTGCTGGCTCCCTTGGAATGAGGGCTGCTGTGCTCTTGCAGCTGGGAGCTCTCCTGAAGTGAGATGGGGGGCACTGGAAAGCCCATTTCCCAGGAAAGTGTTCCAACCACCAGGCTACAGGGCATGGAAGTGGCCTCCTCCACCGTTGTGTTCCCAGCCCTTATGCCCAGGAGCTGCCAGACCCTGAAGCACTGCTCAGACCCAATGCCCTGCTCAGACCCCAAAACCCTACTCAGGCCCTCAATTCCTGCTCAGACATGCTCGAGCACCCGACACCCCCAGCTCTGGGATCTCCTGCCTGAGTGCTCAGCACCCCACATGTTGCAAATGCCAGCACGGGCAGCGTTGGTGCCAACTCAGTGCCATGTGCTGGGCAGCAGATGGGCTCCTCACTGCCATGCTGAGCACCCCACTGCCCGAGTGCCCCTGCTGCCTGTGCCTGCTGCAGCCCTCACACACAGAACAGGCTCAGTATGGACATTTTGGAATTGGGATGGACCCACAGGCACATCCTTGGAGGTTGTGTCTGCCACAGTGACCTTGCAGTGTGGGCAGCTCTGTGCCCAGCTGCATCCCTCTCTGCAAGGAGAGAAGCCTTGAATGCAAACAAGCTTTCCCTGCCCCTGTGAAATTCTTCCCTGTGAGGGTGGGGAGGCCCTGGCACAGATTTCACAGAGAAGCTGTGGCTGCCCCATCCCTGGAAGAAGTGTCCAAGGCCAGGTTGGACGGGGCTTGGAGCAACCTGGGCTAGTGGAAGGTGTCCCTGCCCCTGGCAGGGGGATTGGAGGAGATGATCTTTAAGATCCCTTCCAGCCCAAAGCACTCTGGGATTCTATAATATATGTTCAAACCCCCTTTGAAACACAATATCCGACTGTAAGGATGGGGGGGGGGGGGCTGTCACAGGTACTCTGTGGAAAATCTGGTCTTCAGCAACTTGTCCAAAGACATGCAGGACCTGTGCCAGGACCACACAACACCTTCTGTATCCCCTGGCTGATCCATCCCCCGCCGCTGTGCTCACACCCGTCCATCTTCAGAGGATGCAAATAACCACTAATGTAGCAGAAGCTGCCCCGGCACGACCCTGCCAGCAGCATCACTCCTGAAATACCTGCTGTCTGCCGCATCCCAGGGCGTCCTGAGCACTATTTATATCCCTCCTGAGCGCCGTGTGTGGTGGCACAGTTTCAAGGAGGCCAGAAATGAGGCGTGCCCGCCTCCCTGACTGATCCCAGCGCTTGCGTGCTGGGGGTGCTGAGGCTCCTCGGCTGTGGGTCCCTCTGCCCTGCCCTCAGTGCCCTGCCAGTGCCATGCAGGCAGTGAGGACAAGGTGGGGACAGCCCTGGGGCTGCAGTGACCTGTTAATGTCACAAAGGGGGCTGGGAATAGAGCCCTGGGCGAGATCCAATGAAGGACTCAGGAACCTGCACTCCATGGCAAACCACAACTCATTCAGCCACAAGTTAACCCCAGCAGCTCCTGCCCCACCCCACCCCCCCGTTGGAAGCCAAAGTTCCCAGGCTTTTCAGGGCTGCAGGAAAGCTGTCCAGAAACGACCCTGAGCCTCCTAGGTGCTGGTCCTGGCTCTGGGAGCTTCCCCAGTATGATGGTGGCACCCAGGGATGGGGGAAGAGAAAGTAAAAGGAAGTGCCAAATACATTTTGGGATTTTTGTGACTGTAACATTCCGGTGGTTTGAACTCTGTTTTGAAATTAGAGGCTTTGGCTTTGGAGTGCAAATGGGAGTGAGGGGGACAGACAAAGCCCTACATCCCCTTATTGTCCTGTGGGATCACAAAATCAGACTGGAGAGGGATATGAATCATAGAATCCTACAATGATTTGGGTTGGAAGGGACCTTAAGGATCATCTAGTGCTCCCAGCTCTCACAGTTCCAAGCTGAAGGAGCTCTCCCAGCCTCTCCCCCCCTTCCTTGGGCTCCAGCGTTCGGATCAGTTTGGTGGCTCCCACATGGCCCTGTTTTTGTTGCAGTGGGGAGCCCAAAGCTATGCCCAAAACTGGGCACAGTGCTCCAGGTGTGGACCTGTGAGTGCCAAATTGAAGGCAACCATCTCTTTTCTTGACCTGCTGGCTACAACCTTACCAGTAAACCCAGCCAGTCTCCATCACAGCAAGGGTGCACTGGTGACTCATGTTCAAGCTCACAGCCCCCACATCCTTTTCTGCAACCTTCCTGCACCCAGTGCTCCCAAATTCAGCACAAAGAGCCCCAAAGCTGTGTGCCTGCTCCCCATGACGCCACGCAGAAAAGCTATTTTAGAAATGCCTTAGAGTTGCAAAAAAATGGTATTGAGCTCATTTCTCTAAGCAGGAAATTCAAGTGCCTCAATTACTTGCAGTGCAATCATCCAGAATTCAGAGGCACAGAAAAAAAAAAATACAAGGGCTGTAATCTAAAAACACCCAAAAATAACTTCTCGCAGTGGAAAAGGCACACAGCTGATGGCCAGACCTGGCTGTTTTCCATGACTATAGGATGGGGCTGTGAGTCACAGCTGTGAATCACTGATTCAACACAAGGCAGCCTGCCCTGCCCTGCTTCCCTTTCCTGGGGTGGGCAGACCCCAGAACCCCCCCTTCTCACACTGCTCCCCACTCAGCTGCAGCCTTGGATGCTGCTGCAGGGAGCCTGCCCGGAATGGGAGGGCTGATTCCTATGGAAATGACTCCAAGGACTCGCTGTTTTTAATACAAATGCCATTGACTCAATAGGGTGGTGTTTTTTTTTCTAAAAACCCATCCCCCATGGGATAGATTTTTTTTTCTCTGTTCAGTTCTACTCCACACTTCAAAGCTCAGAAAAGAGCTGGCTTTCATTTTTGGGAATGCTTCCAGCGTAGCCAGAGCTGGAGAGGAGGAATCAAATCCATATTTGAGACAAACCCAGGGGTGCAGCATCTTAAGGGGCTCAGGGCATGGTGGAGACAGAGCTGTGTCAGCAGAGGCAGGTACAGCCCAGGCACGACCTGCACATGCCTTCAATAAAATGGCTACATGGAAATCAGGGAACACTGAGACAAAAGGCCCTGACACAGCCCCACTGCATCATCCTGCATCCCAACACTGCCCCATTACTGAGGGCTCTCACAAGCACCCCCCTGATGGGTGCACCTGGGTGATTTGCTGATCATCTATTTTGCAGCACCCTCAGCCATCAGGTCCCTTTTTATCTTCCACTTCCAGCAGGGAGTTATTCCACTTTGGGCACGGAATTATTCATTTCCTTGCAGGGTTGCCATGGAGCTCGTCACTATGGCAGCCAAAGGCCTTGCAAACATTTATTTGCACAACCGCCCCATGGATTCCTGAAAAATTGTTTTCCTTGCTCTGCAGCTGGTAACACGAGCCCGTAGCAGTGCCACAACAAACTGGAAAAGTTTATTCATGCCAGAGCAGTGCTGTAAGAGCCCTAAGGGACGCAGGGGGCAGCTCAGTGCCCTGCAGACCAGACCCTGGCACTCTGAGACGTCTGGCAGGGCTGTGGGCAGTGCTCGGGCTGGGGATTTTCCCGGGACACCCTCAGCATCCTCCCTCCTCTCTTATTTGGGGCTGTCTGGCTCCTATGGCAGTGGCTCTCCAGCCAGCCCCTCCCAAACCCCACGAGAAGCTGCTCCCAGGCTTCCCCACTCCAGGGAGGGGTGACTGGGATTTACTTCTCCTCCCCGTCTCTCCCCTTTTCACTCCCATTTGCACCCCAGCTCCGGATGCTGCTCCCACCCTCCCATCACCTCCCCCAGACATCCTGCCCTCCCCTTCTCATCCAGTTCCCAGAGCCAGAGGTACATTCAAGCCCATTCCTCCAGCCCCATTCCCAGGCAGTACCTGCTCCCCCCAGGCTGCCCCCCTGTCAAAGCCCCCCTGCACTGCTCTTTCCTCTCTCCCAGCTTCCTCC